AAAAAAAATAAGAAAAGTATCATGCCGATGTCTTCTGCATTCACCTTTTATATCCCCGTTTGGCGCGCGGTCGATGGATCACATTCCGATGTATTCTACATCATGACGATGTTGCCGTCACTTCGGGCTCAACATGGTCTCCTCCATGAGATTCTGACTCCTGCTTCTCAGTCGCCCTCTTTGGGTATCCTCAATGCGCCAGCGAGCTATGGGCCTATGTCAGGAACATCGCAAATTGCTCGATGGTGGTATCCGTTATTGTTCATGCATAAATCTTCGAACACTGTGCCTTTAAGTCTCTGGCAATAAAAACACTTACTGAGGCGATACCTGCAGCGGGGCTGAGGCGATACCTGCAGCGGTGCCTTTCCGGACCCTCGAGGCAGTGAACGCACCTTTTTCTCTAAACTATGATTTCGTAACGCGTTCTTCCATTCCGAAATTGAGGGCAGGCATCGGAAAAGTGGATGCCTAAAACATCACAAAACGCATAATTCTGTCAGGAGGAATTCCCAAAGACTCGTCTTGCCTATCTCGATATGGAAAGCATTCGAATTCTTCTTCCATTCTTCGCAATTTTGCCTGCACGACTCGAATGCGACTGGTGATCAACGGCTGCTAATACTCTACTCTTTGGCTTTTACGTGCCGGTTCATCGTCCTCGGACCAGTTTCATCCAGTCCCCTTTTCATCCGTGACTTCATTCACCATCCTTCTACAGTGGTTTTCGTCATCATCCTCTTCGACAAGCTCCAAATCCTCATAGCCTTCTTCTTCAACTTCTTCTTCTTCTTCTTCTTCTTCTTCTTCTTCTTCTTCTTCTTCTTCTCCAACTTCACGCACATCAGGTTCGACAGGTTCGACCTCCTGATTGGTTCCCACACTCTGCTCGACGGGCGTTGATGCAGCGACCACTTCAGGTTTCACCATCTTTCAAAAGCTTGCGATTTGGCACCAGCAGGGCAGTAATATGAGCCAAGGCATACCACATACATTAAGAAAAGTGCGGAAGAAAGTGTTGCCTTCTTTGCCTAAGATGAGTGAGCGCGCCCAGGGAAGGTGCGATTGCTAAGATTACCTTGTCCTATTACCTCTTGAGTAATAGTGATTTATCAGACTTATCATTAAAATGTAAATCTAACATGAACCAACGAGAGGAACAATGAAGACAACGAGATGTGCATAAACAAGTGAAATACGAGAGAGACTGATGATCGGCAGACAAGGAGTCGTAGTTCTTTTGGACAGGACAGGGAATCGCTCCATGATGGAGAGACGGACGTCAACCGCGACACTCGGTCCGTGTAGCCGGTAGACTTCTCAAACTTCCTCGTCGCCGCTAAGCCACGCCCTGAAAGAACAAGCTGAGTCATCAAGGAAGCACCCCTAGAATCTACATATGCTCGCGTCCCTTACACTAAAGTTGTTACCATATTCACGACCCGCCCTGAATTACGCTCTCAAAATTCATGCTGTAGCATTTAAGAGCTTTGTCAGAGTCCATATCATCTTCCCGCAGTAATTGTTTTGGCCTTTTAGGAGTGTCGTTGTGGCATACTTGCGCTCAAGAACCATGTAGCACCTGAATTTAACGGGGTGTACTGTTACCCGTACCAGGCTTTCCTCACACATTCTGAAAAATGCTGCAGAAAATTTTTCCTTGAAAGGTTGGACTCGGGTGCATTCAGTCAGTTTCTCTTGCCAGACTTCTGATATTGCACCATGTTAATGAAATCACAAACCCTGACATCTGACTAGGCACAAGTACTTGCGCGGTAGTATCGGAGCCTGCTCACAGTCAGATAGCTAGTAAGGAAAACGTAGCACCAAAAAACCATCTACAGCATACCGTAATCAAGCAAGGGAGTGCAAAGCTCTCCAACGTAGCCGAATCGAAGAGGAGGTAGCCATCAAACCAGAATGCAGAAACCATCTATCGACTCACAGAAACCAGAGTGCAGACAATTGCTTGACACATCTCCTAGGCATTATGAAAAATCGGACACTGAACTCCTTTGCAAGCTTCCCTACACTTATTTACTATTTATTGCTTATTTACTGACTGCACTCTGTGCATCGGTGCGTCACAGCTATCCTCTATATACATATACATATATATATAGCTCTAGCTTTCTGTGTCCGTTTGTGTGTCCTCCCAAAAGTCACGTAGGCTTGATCAAAAGCGTGAAGATCACAAGAGCGCGGTGGGGAAGTAGATCACAGACTAACCAGTTTTTTGGAGAAGAGAGAATGTAGGGTAGGGAACGTTTTACATTGGCATCTGTTGGTATTAGGCATCATCGAACACCCTGCTGACTATTGTCCATTACATCTCCGATGCACAATTGAATAATATTTTGAGGCGTAATCAATCCCGTCTGAAGGATGCGCCCCCGCACTCGACTTCCATTCAGAATCGTAGTGGAGTATTGAATGCGGATGTGGCCTATGCAATGACTTGCGGTTGCCGGCCGATGTATAAGTCAGTGCCTTTCTGCATGTCCGCCCCGATCGCAATTTCCTACAATCAAGCTAGAACGACATTTTCAATATAATGTAATGACAGCTACGCTCTTGAAAGGATATTTTGGGTCACCGCTTTTGACAGAAAACTGGATGCAATCAAAACTAGTGGTCAACCTTGAAAGAAGTGAGCAACGCTGGAAACCCGACTATAGCGAGCCCTTTAATCGGAGGATCAAAAATATGTATAGCAGCGAAATCGAACAGCGGTCATGAATTTTGCTTTATTCCACAGTTTGTAGTATACCGACGATTGGTCACTCAGGAGAGGGCCTTTATATGGCTCTGCCATCATGTTATCAAACCTCACTCAACATCGATTTGGATAAATGTTTGTAGAATATTACTGTCCTCACAGTAGCCATTTTTAAACTGACACTCCATAGTTGTTTGCAACTTCTGCTTCTTTTTGTAAGAACTCTGGTTTCAGTGAACACCTATCAAAGGATTACATCTCTTTCTCATGGCCCTTAAATCAGTAGAAATTTAAAACCTAAATTTATACGTTAGGTGAAATGATTTCAAAAGGGACGCTTTAATACCAAACTCTTACTTAATTCAGTTCAGATTTTCGCCCTTTCTACTTGCAGTTCGTCTGCATATGTTCGAAAAAGGGCAGGTAAGCAGCTGAATTTTGAAGTTTTATTGGAAAATCTGACTGAACGGCATTCTAGTATGTGCAAATAAGGAATTGTCTGACACGATTCGTAGCCTAATCCTCAAATTTCATAACAATACTCGTCGTCGTATGGCAAGGGGGCAGGAGCCGAACAAAGTTGGAGTGCTCAACCCAGCTAGGAACATGTTCAAGCTGGTGAGCTATACATGCGCGAAGAAAAGTCTGGTGGAAAAGTGAGGGAGAGGATGAGTGAGAGATAGAGTGTCCAAGCAGTGTTTATCTCCGAAGCTCGTCAAAAATGCAAAAATGATAGGCAAGGCAAACGGTATCTCGGTGGTATAAAGAATAGAAAGCCCATTGTATGAAAGCTGGAGCACTGGTTTAAAGCCTGTCCGAGGACGATGTTAGGGCGCAACTCGCCGAACTTTTGAGATTTCACATGACACCGTAACAAAACCGTTGAAAAACCATAAAGTTGAAGCAAAAAAATAATTTTCCCAATGACCGAGCGAGAAAGTGCTTAATAGCAACCAGGTACTTGATGTTTATCGTTCCCAAATGCAGCTTTTGCGTAATACACACCATGGAAATTTTATTTAACAACTCTATCCCAGCTGCTCTCCGACCAACAGCACTATCCGTCATCCTGGACACGCTGTCGTTTTCACTCCGTCCCAACTGGTCTCTCTAATTCATCTCAATACATTTTCTAACAAGAATTAATTTTCTACACATATTCTCTTTCTCTTCCTAAACTCCAGCTTCTGTCAATTGCTATACCACGTGGGTTTCGAACAACAATCCTACCTCTATAACACATCCATTTCCAATCACTCCATCTTCAAAGTTATCCTTCTTCATGGCCCACTAAACCTCTTTTTACTTACTGAGCTACCTTACTGAAACCCATCACGTCGGCTAAATCAAAGGCAAAGTCATTCGTCATCTGGCGGAAAAGAAAACCTAGGTAGTAGTATCGAACGTATCAAACTTACTACTGCTTTCCTCAGCAAGGCGGAGTGGAATCGTCTTCAAAGGGAAGGACATGGCCCATGCCCGATTCGTGAACTCGAACCGCTCCGACACGACCGCACATCACCTCCGATTCGTTTTCACGATGAGTCCCTTAAGAGCATTCTTCGTCCCGTTTTCGTCCGACCGCTTCCACTCATTTCAATCCCTTCAATCTTTATCGCTGTTCTCTAAAGTGACTTGACAAAGGAGGCTACTCAGAGAAACGTCTTGTCCACGCCAGTGAGCAGAAGATATGCTTAAGCCATGTCGACCAGCCGGCATTTGATATAGCTGGGGTATGATTCGTGTTATGCTACTCGTCATATTACCCACCAATGCATTAGTGGAACTGAGCGGCATGTCCCAGACGTGACTGTAGAAGAGAGCATATTAAATAAAGAGCATTATTCACTAGTAAGTATTTTACTTACTTTCGTTGTGTTAGTCTGTTTCTTATGGTTTATTTAGGGCGAAGAATTCCACCAAGAAGATGTCTTGTCCGACGACACGATGACACGAATGTGATCTCTACTGATCAGAGATCGCGCGGGAAACTGCGCACGCATGCCGAACGTCAGTATGAAAATGGGCAGAGCATCAGTGTAAGCATTCGAATCTTTCCCCTTAACCTTGAAAAGCCTTTTTACCTTTTACTTCTATTTTTCTAAAGCATCGCACGTATTCTGTTGATTTGTATTATTAGAGCATCTCATCTGTTTCCTTAGCATTTAGATCATCAATTCGAGCACTTATTCAGTGGATTCAGGTTTAGTATTTTGGAGCATTTGTCACTTAGCCCTTTTTACTATTGTGCTTAATAGCATTGTGCTTTAATTGCTTCATACTTGTATGTTGATTTTTATTTACTTCTTTCTCTTTTGACAATAGTTTGGTACCGTCGACGGTAACGCGCTCTAACTATAACGAGTTGCGATGTTCGTATCAATATCAAACTTAAGTTTTTTTCTTACAGTGTTATTCTTGTTACTCACATCCTATTACTCTTGTCCTGTCCGTGTCCTTACCTTCTATTATGTTACTGCCTTTTTGTTCGTTCTCATTCGCGTTCTTTGTTATTGCTTTTTGTTCGTTCTTATTCGCGTTCTTTGGTTCTTGGTTTTGA